TTAGATATTAAGCATGAAACATCTTTAAGTAAATATCTACAAAGTTTGTTCAAATAAAAGCCCGGGAGTCAAAACTGGCCCTGCCCCAGGGGTGTCATTGTTTTTAACTACATGTGTATAGTAAAAACTTAAAAAATCTTCTTTTAAAAAACCCAATGAGCTGGAACTTAGATGTTTAGCATGAAACATCTTATGGGTGTCTACTAAGTGTGTTCAAATAAACAAATAAAAGCCCTTGGGTAAAAATTGGCCGGGGGGGGGGGCTATATACAGGTGAGCGAAATCAGGGCCATCATGGCCCTCTTGTTTGTTTTTTTTTATAGAAAAGACCAACTTTACTTGGTCTATAATAGGATATGCAGCTTCCCATACATAGCTTATTCATTCTTTTATCCAAATTAGACATTTTCAGTAAGAATTTAATAAATTTCAATAAATTTCTATGACTCAAAGATGGGTATAGGATATCTTTTCATAATGAAAGGGAAACAACTCATGTTGGAATGTGTACATATGTTATTCAATTTTACCAAAAGAGGTTCAATGGCTTTGAGAAAGTCTTAATGTCGTGACTTGTTTATGATGTGTGAATATCTCACAGCTGAGTAGAATTCGACATCATATTGCATCATTGTAAGGTCAGCTGTAGGTCATTAACCAGAAAAAAAGAAACTGGCCTAAAGAAACATTAAATTTGTTTCTCCATCTACAGAACTATTTGATGGATGATCACCAAATTTTGTCTGTAGCATTCATAGGTAGCCTTTTATCAAATGTGCTCATATTAATTTGATTGGACCGCTATAGCTAAAAATATTTGGAGCAACTATAGCTAAAATGCCCTGGGCCATGGCATTTCTTCAAAATATAGTTTAATAATGAAAGGAAAATAACTCATGTTGGAATGTTTCCATACATATGCATACATGTGAACTCTCCCAATTTGAGCAGGAGACACCTTCTTTCTCCTGTCTAATTTTATAATATTTTTCTTAGAATAAGGGGTGTTTTAAAAAAAATAAAGAGATCTCCCTTGTTTTTCATTTCAAAATCTCCCTCTTTTTTGAAGTAAATTATCCCTCTTGAAAAAAGGTTCACATGTATGTACATGCTATGCATAAAATAAAGATTTAATGTCTGAATGTCAGGACCTGTTTGTTTTACAGAGATCTGAGGTCAATGAGCTTTGCATATTTCTGTTTGTGCCCTAGAATTCAGATTGGCATTGCATCATTCTAAGGTTCATTTGTAGGTCAATCAAGAGAATTTTACCCAAGGCCTAAAGTAATGTTTCATTTGTTTCTCGTACCTTACTAACTTAGAGAAAGCACATTTCAATAAATATTGGGACACACTGTTGACCACTGTGCAGACCACCACCACCATGCTGACCACCACAACCATGCAGACCTCCACCACCATGGTGTCCGTGTTACACCACTATGCAGACCAACACCGCCATGCGGACCATCACCATCATGCGGACCACCACAACCATACGGACTACCCCCACCATGGGGACCACCATGCAGACCACCACCATGCGGACCACCACCACTATGCGGACTACAAACATGTGGACTACCACCACCAAGCGGACCACTACCACAATGCGGACCACTCGCATGCGTACCACCACCACCATGCGGACCACTACCACAATGCAGACCACTAACATGCGGACAAACACCACCATGCAGATCACCACCAACATGCGGACCACCACCTCCATGCTGACCACTTTTTTCCATGCGGACCATTGCCACCATGCAGACAACCACCACCATGCGGACCACCACCACCATGTGGACCACTACTACCATGTAGACCACTAACATGCAGACCACCACCACCATGTGGACCACTACTACCATGCAGACCACTAACATTCGGACCACCACCACCATGTTGATACCACCAACATGGGGAACATCACCAACATGCGGTCTACCACCAACATGCGGACCACTGCAAATGTGCGGACCACCACCAACATGCAGACCACCAACATGCGTACCATCCCACCATGCGGACCACCACCACCATGCGGACCACCACCAAAATGCGGACCATCACCAGCATAAGGACCATCACCAGCATGAGGTCCACCATCAACATGCGGACCACCACCAACATGCGGACCACCACCAGCATGGGGAACATCACCAACATGCGGTCCACCACCAACATGCAGACCACCGCCAATATGTGGACCACCACCAACATGCAGACCACCAACATGCGGATCATTAACACCATGCAGACCACCACCACCATGTGGACCACCACCGCCATGCAGACCACCACTGCCATGCAGACCACGGCCAACATGCGGACCACCACCAACATGCAGGTCACCATCATGCGTACCACCACCATGGGGACCACCACCAATATGCGGACCGCCGCCAACATGCGGACCGCCACCAACATGTTGACCACCACCACCATGTGGACCACCACCACCATGCGGACCACCTCCTCCATGCGGACCACCATCACCATGTGGACCACCGCCAACATGCGGACCACCGCCAACATGCAGACTGCCACCACCATGCTGATCACCACCGCTACCATGCAGACCACCACCACCATATGCATTTATATATAAATGCGTATATATATATATATATATTTAGGATATTCGTTATATATAGACCAAAGTAATGTGACAAGACAGACTGATTAAATTTATAAAAAGAAACCTTTTTAATTGTTCAAACATTTCTTTGTTTGCTTTAAGAAAAAGTAAAAAGTCGAGCGTTGCCCCCGCCTTGGGGTGGCTCTTGTTTATTCTTTGTGCTATTTTAGTATCAGTTTCAATTACACATTTTGCAAACTTGGTTATCATTTGTTGAAAGTTTCATACAATGTATGTAAAGTTGTTTTCATGTTCACTGAATACATTTCATCAAAACAACATTTTGCCTTTTTCCTCTATGTAGTTAAAGATACAATTGTTTCCCATTTCTATTAAACAATGTTAAAGAGAAAGATAATTAACCTGAAATGTTAACTCTCTGGTCATGTTGACTAGTATACCTATGTTATCTTAAAGAAATATTGACCGGTGGTGTCATCCTGACAAACAGTAAACATGTATATCTAAATAATGAGATTATATAATTATTTATTTTTTTTAGATAATTAAAAAAAAAGAAAGATCGCAATTTTGAAAAAAGTCATAGGCAAATTTTATCACAAATTAATGGTGGATGATCACCAAGCTTGGTTCCTATCATTTTTACTATAAAGAAAAAAACAATCAGTGTCGGGAAACCTTATAACTAGAAAGGAAAATTGAAGTTGGCCTGGACTTGTCCTTCTACAAGTTTATTTTTTAAAAAAATATTTCTATAATCACTGAAAAACAGTTGTTTCTGGTGAGCGATTCAGGGCCATGATGGCCCTCTTGTTTAAAATATTGTTACTGACAAGAATCTGAGTCGGGGGGCATTTGTGTTTAACAAACAGGTTCTTGTTTGTCTATGTATAAATATTAAGTGATCTTTATAATATGGCATTGACAAAGCAGTATCTGCCAGAACAGTGTTAATCTAAAACTACTAAAAGAATTCCTTGCATATTTTACCATTTTAGATCATCTTGCTTTACCTTATTGATAGTATGCAGATCTGAGCACAATAACAGAAACATTTTGTACCGGTGCATATAGTGTTACTCTGTTCTGTCTTTCCGTCATCATCAGTTTCCGTTCATTATCTTAGAAACAGTTGCACACATTCAATTCAAATTTGACATATTGGTCATGGTCCGATAACTTTTGAGTATTGCCCCTTCCGTTGTTCCGTCTTTCCGTTCATTATCTGCCCAACAGTATTACTCACCCATTCAACTCAAATTCGACATATGGATACGTCAAAGGAATGTGCAGATCAAGTTTGAATTTTGTCATGGTCATTGATTTTTTGCAAAGTTATGCCCCTTTCACTTTGAAAAAGTTATGAAATTTTCAGTTCCTTTCATTATCTCCCAAACAGTATTTCACATTCAACTCAAATTTCTCATATTGATATGGCGAAGGTCAAGTTCAAATTTGATTATGGTTCGATAATTTTTTGCAGAGTTATGCCCCTTTCACTTTGAAAATAATAAGAAATTTTCAGTTTACATTAATTGTCTCCCTATTCAACTCAAATTTTACATATGGATAGGTCAAAGAAATGCGCAGTTTGAATTTTGACATCGTGTCAATGACTTTTGGCAGAGTTATGCCCCTTTCACTTTGAAAATAATAAATTTTCCATTTTGGTTCATTATTACCCCAATGGTATTACACATTCAACTCAAATTTGACATATGAATATGTCAAATGAATAGGCAGGTCAAGTTTAAATTTGGTGTTTCAATGATTTTTGGCAGAGAAATGCCCTTTAACTTTGTAAAAAAAAGGAAATTTTCAGTTTCTGTTCATTTTCTCCCCAACAGTTGTACATAATTATTCAACTCAAATTTTGTATGACATAAGAATACACTGGTCAAGTTTGAATTTGGTCATGGTTTGATGATAGCTGACAGAGTTATCCATCATGAACTTTAAAAAAAATAGAGATTTTTAGTTTCCATTCATTATCTTCCCAATAGTTGTACACATTCATCTCAAATTCGACATATAGATTATCTGAGGAATAAGCAGATCAAGTTTGAATTTGGTTGTGGTGTAATGATTTTTGACAAAGTTATCTCTCTTGAATGTTGGAAAAATGTTGACTCATATTTTTGTGGAAATGTATGTAGCAGTTTACAAAAGGTTAACACTGAATAGTTTCTGTGCTTTGACTTACTTTGTATATAAGTGGTTTGTGTTTACATTGAATAAATTATATATAAGTTTTAAGGGCTTTGAGCCTAAAATGAAAAAAAATAGTTTTGTGCAAACAAATTTGGAACTATTTTATTATAACATCTGAAATTTTGCTGCATGCGGGGGCATCCATGGCATGATGACACATTTGTAGTCTCTTTTTATTTTGTAGGCAAAGCAAAGGGTCATGATGGAAAGAGTGATAGGTAACAAATTATTACTATAACTTGCTATGTAATTATCATAAAAAGGTACATGAATTACACAATCTTGAATAGTACTTACAAAAAAACTATTTATCACAAAGTCTTCATAATTCACATACTGATTGGTCATAACTATTAGATGACCCCTATTGATTTTAGGGTAACAAGGTTAAAGGGCAAGGTCACTGGTGCCTATTGATATTGAGATCACTTTGGCAAACGTCCAAAGGTCACAGAGGCCTTAAATGTCAAAATGGTTTCCCCTTATTATTTTGAAAACTGTTTTCACATATTTCACATATTGGTCATAACTAGAAGGAGACTCCTTGTTATTTTTCTTACTTAATAGGCTTGTCCAGAGCATAAATTGGTCACTATAAGTTTGATTGACTCCAAATCTTGTATGTAAGCTTTTTTATGCCACCGCAGCATCTGTGTTGCGGTGGAATATAGCGATTCACATGTGTGTGTGTTTGTACGTATCTGTGTTATATAGATTATATAGTTAACTTAAAAAATCTTCTTGTGAAAAACCACTAGTCCAATTTCAACCAAACTTAGCAGGATTGACCATTGGGTGAAGGGCTTCCAAAGTTGTTCAAAGAATTTCATGCCATGCATGGCAACCAGAAGGAATTATAAGAATAAATTAAAAATCTTCTTGTAAAGACCCACAAGGCCTGGAGCATAGATATTTTGCATAAGGCATTGTCTGGTAGACTTCTACCCAGATTGTTCAAATTATAGCCCTTGGGTCTAAATTGGCCCCGCCCCGAGGTCATTGATTTTCACAATATGTACAAATAGTTATAACTAAAATACCTTTGTGTCTAAAGGAAAAAGGCTTAGAGCTTTGATATTTGGTATATGATATCATCTGTAGGTACTCTCCAGAAGTTCTTCAAATTTTGCCTCTAGCGTCAAAATTAGCCCTGCCCAGGGTATTATAGGTTTTCCTGACATGTATATAGTAAATACTTAAAAAATTTTCTTCTCTAAATTGACAAAGGCTAGAGGTTAGATATTTTGCATGAAACATTGTGTAGTGAACCTCTACCAAGATTGTTCAAATTATAGCCCTGGGGTCAAAATTGGCCCTGCCCGAGGGTCATAGATTTTCACTATGTACATACAGTAAAAGAATTAAAAAATCGTATTGTCTGAAGGTACAAGACTTAGAGCTTTGATATTTGGAATATGATATCATCTATACGTACATATAGTAAAAAGTTAAAATTTCTTATTGTCTTAAGGTGCAAGGCTTAGAGCTTTGATGTTTGCTTTGTATTATCCATAGGTCCTCTACCAAAGTTGTTCAAATTTTTTCCCTGGTGTCAAAATTTGCCCTGCCCTGGGGCATTCATTTTCATTATGTACACATAGTAAAAACAGAAACTTAAACAAATGTTTTCTGAATTGGAGAAAGCTACAGCTTAGATATTTGACATGAAATGTTGTTTGGTGGACCTGTATCAAGATTGTTTTGAATTAAACCCTTGTGACAAAATTTTGCCTTGCCCAAGGGGACAGTGACCTACTATATTGTCCCTTGATGTACAGCCATGAAATTTGGACTATGTGCTTATTTTTATTTGTAAAATTGAACTTTGATATAAGGTGACCTAGATTTTGATGATGTGACCTACATGTTCTCTTTTGTCCTTTAATGTGCAGCTATGAAATTTGAACCATGTGCACAGATTTAAGATGTAAAGTGGACTTTGATATCAGCTGGCCTACAATTTGACAAAGTGTCTTACTGTGTTGTCCTTTCATGTACAGTCATGAAATTTTGGCCATGTGAAATATGACTTTCACCACCAAATTCATTAGACTCAACTGCATTGATAGATTCCTACTCTGATCTTTTATTTGAATAACAATAGATTTAACCACTAATCTAAAAAAAAAAATTCTGTTCCTACATTACTATTTAGTGTTGTATTAATGCGGTGGCATAGCATTTTTCACAAATGCAATCTTGTTCATTGACCTGAAGTGCAGTGCTTAATAATCCATCACAGAGTCCTCCATTTAATCTGTCAGTATAAAATTTGCATGGTTATTTTATTTTCAAACATAAAACAAGTTTTATTAATTCTGATGTAACATTGTTACAATCAGTTGAAATGCCACTCAAGTTCCAGGTACATGTGCATTGTAAGAGCAGTGTTTATAAATAAGTTATATTTAAGAAAAAAATGCCTAAGTGACAGCTATATAGTTCACAAGGCAACACATCCGACTCGCTGAGTTCTAGTTACTCTTTATTTCATAAGTAAACAACTTCTAACTTCAAAGATATGTTTGTTATCAAACACACCAAATGTGACGAGGTTCATAATTTTAGCATCAATATTTCTATAATTATTTCCCCTTGAACATAGAATTCTCATTATGAGGTGTTTTTTAATGCCTCAAAGGGGAACATAATTATTATAAGTTGCGCACTGTACTTCCATCCTTCTGTTCGTCAAATAATCTTGTTCGCTTTTCTCTCTGTTTTCCCCTTGATTTTTTTAGCTCACCTGTCACAAAGTGACAGGGTGACCTTTTATGATCACTTTTCGTCCGGCGTCCGTCCATCGTCCGTCCGTCCGTAAACTTTTACTTTAATTGACATCTCCTCATAAACCACTAAGCCAATTTCATCCAAACTTCACAGGAATGTTCCTTTGGTGGTCACCTTTAAAAATTGTTCAAAGAATTTAATTCCATGCAGAACTCTGGTTGCCATGGCAACCGAATGAAAAAACTTAAATATCTTCTTTTAAAAAACCCTAAGAGCTAAAGCTAAGATATTTGGCATGAAACATCTTCTAGTGAATGTCTACCAAGTTTGTTCAAATAAAAGCCCTGGGGTCAAAATTGGCCCGCCCCAGGGGGTCATTGAATTTCCCTATATGCATATAGTATAAACTTAAAAAATCTTCTTTTAAAGAACCCAAAGAGGTAGAGCTTAGATATTTAGCATGAAACATGTTTTAATGAATATCTACCAAGTTTGTTCAATTAAAAGCCCTGGGGTCAAAATTGCCCCGCCCCAGGGGGTCATTGATTTTCCCTATATGCATATAGTTAAAACTTTAAAAATCTTCTTTTAAAGAACCCAAAGAGCTAGAGCTTAGATATTTAGCATGAAACATCTTCTAATGAGTGTCTACCAAGTTTGTTCAAATAAAAGCCCTAGGGTCAAAATTGGCCCCGCCCCAGGGGGTCATTTATTTTCCCTATATGCATATAGTAAAATCTTAAAAAATCTTTAAAAAAGAACTCAAAGAGCTACAGCTAAGATATTTAGCATGAAACAAGTTCTAATGGGTGTCTACCAAGTTTGTTCAAATGAAAGCCCTGGGGTCAAAATTGGCCCCGCCCCGGGGGTCATTGATTTTCCTTATTTGTGTATAGCAAAAACTTAAAAATCTTCTTTGAAAAAACCCAAATAGCTAGAGTTTAGATATTAAGCATGAAACATCTTCTAGTATGTGTCTACAAAGTTTGTTCAAATAAAAGCCCTGGGGTCAAAACTGGCCCCGCTCCAGGGGTGTCATTGTTTTTAACTAATTATGTGTAAAGTAAAAACTTAAAAAAATCTTCTTTTAAAAAACCCAATGAGATAGAGCTTAGATGTTTGGCATGAAACATTATCTTACGGGTGTCTACCAAGTTTGTTCAAGTAAAAGCCCTTGGGTTAAAATTGGCCCTGATGGGGGGGAATATCATTGTTTTTTATTATATGTGTGTAGTAAAAACTTAACATCATGAAACATCTTCTAATGGGTGTCTTCCAAGTTTGTGCAAATAAAAGCCCTGGGGTTTAAAGTGGCCCAGCTCCTGGGGCCTATATACAGGTGAGCGACCTCAGGGCCATCATGGCCCTCTTGTTTAACTGTTATGCCCCTTATTATGCTTGGAATAAAAATCACCTACCTGTCCGCACCACCAATAGTCCTTAATCTTTAAAATTCTATACTGTAACCAGAAAACTGGATACTATAACATGTTCCCTACGGTGGTCATCTCCAGTCAAAAACTAGGAGCTAAAAATAGAAAATCTTGTTAAACTCTAGTGGCTGCAGTTTTGATCCAAATATTCTGGAAATTTGTCAGAATGGTTGTTTTGATGATTTCTAGGGAAAGTTCTAAGATGGGTCATCTCCGGTCAAAAACTAGGTCACAGGAGCTAGAAAAAGAAAAAGCTTGTTAACACTCTAGTGGCTGAAGTTTTGATCCAAATATCCTGGAAATTAGTCAGAAAGGTTGTTTTGATGATTTCTAAGTGAAGTTCGAATTTAGGTCATCTCCGGTCAAAAACTACGTCACAGGAGCTAAAAAAAGAAAAAGCTTGTTAATGCTCTAGTGGCTGCAGGTTTGATCCAAATTTTCTGGAAATCGGTCAGGAAGGTTTTATGATGATTGTTAGGTCAAGTTTGAATATTGGTTGTCTCCGGTCAAAAACTAGGTCACAGGAGCTAAAAATAGAAAAAGCTTGTTAACACTCTAGCGGCTGCAGGTTTGATCCAAATTTTCTGGAAATCGGTCAGGAAGGTTGTTTTGATGATTTCTAGGTCAAGTTTGAATATTGGTTGTCTCCGATCAAAAACTAGGTCACATTGCCCAAATATGGATAAACCTTTTTTAAACACTAGAGGTCACATCTTTGACTCAGTTGTTATTAAACTTGGCCAGGATGCTTGTCTAAGACATTGCTTTGATTTGGTTGATGGGTCAGGGGAGCGATCTAGGGCCATCATGGCCCTCTTGTTTAGTAAAATAAGCTTGTCCACGCTACAGCTCCTAAACTGCCAGGGGATTCAGTGAAACTTCACAGGATTGTATGTCACCAAATCTAGTTGTGTATAGTGTCTTGATATTTCAGTAAATTAACTTTGGCCATCCTTCATCTCAAAAACTATTTGGAAAATTTCAGTGATCATTTATAAAATTGTTTGCATGGTGAAAAGATTTTCCAAGTCTAGTTGTGCATAGTTCCATGATTT